CATTGAAACTGATATTTGGCATTAGCACGAATGACCAAAGGTTTGGCTATAGCAGCCCATTCATGAACATCGACCCTGAGGAGCTCCAGACAAACAGTATTGGTGGAAACAGAAGAATTGAGGTGTGCATTTGCTCCCACAGTTATTCCCATTGGATGTGGTCCATCTTTTATAGTAGCATGCCAGTGTTACCATGGATCGCAATACACCACAGAGACTTACTGTCCTGGTCACAGATGCACAAGTGAGATGTGCACCAACAATTTATCCTCTTTTAAACTCTGATATGTCTCCCATTATGGTGTCTGAACTGCAACATTTTATGGACAGCTGTGCTATTGCATATTTTTGGACTGGTGGGGGGGATACAGAACTGGAGGAAACCCCATGGGGGTAGAGGGAGAGCATGCAAACTGCACACACACAGAACCCTAGTGGAAACTCAAACCCTGGTCCCAGAGGTGTGAGGCAACAGTGTTAACCACTGCATCACCATGCCGCCCCCACATAGCGTAATGCCAAACTCAATTTAGTCTATTTAGTTACCTAAATACTACGCAGCTCCATTCATTACATAACGATAAAAATTATACATATTGAGGCACGTTTTACTAATTCGTTCTCTCATTTTAGTTAAATTGTGGGCATGTTTCATTAATTTGTTCCCATGATATATTTAAATGCGGCCATGATATAGGCTACACAGATACTCCTCGTTTAATGACCGAGTTCCGGTCCTACGACTAGGTCGAATTGGTCGATAAGCGTACTGTACTGGTAGTGGGTTTGTATCAACCATCATTAGATATTAATGTCACTTTTCCACCATTTCTAGCATTTTTTATTTATTTATAAATGTTTATACGGTAGTGTACTGTATACTGTAATAAACAGAATAGAGGAAATCAGCTCTAGTATACAATACCGACTGGTTTGAGAGCTGACTGTAAGTTCAGGCAATCGTTAAACAGGTAGGTCTTTAAGTGAGGAGCGTCTATATCATTTTTTAATCCTTAGGTCTTAGTCATGAGCAGCCTGGGACGCCACACATTTCCTTGGTTGTGTAAAAGGAAAAAGGGCAGATTAACTGTTATCCTAAAGTTAGGAGAGCTTATTTAAGATTTTGGGAAGTTCCCAGGATGCAGCAGACGATGCAGTTATAAATGAGAATTCAATTGACAAGGCGAGATTGATCTGTTCTGACTTTGCAATGTAACCACACAGCCCACTAAGTTTGATTGGCGACCTTTAAAGACAGTTGTAATGGATACTGGTGTAATTTAAACTGAAAATAAAATAATAATATTTAAATGACTATTTAAATAATCATTTAAATGACGTATTTATTTATTGAATATTGCCACAAAAGACCCTCTATACCATCCATCCATCAGTTCATCAATCCATCTACTGATTACAGATTACTGGTAGTGTGTGGCTCAGTGGGCTAAGCCTGTGTGCCTGTAAGCAGAAGGTCGTTGGTTTAAACCCAGCTTCAGCACGTCTACAGGTCCTTAAGCAAGGCCCTTAACCCCCAGCTCCCTGGGTGCCCCTTTGCAGACAGCTTATTCTACCAAGAGGGAGGTGTAAAGACAATTTCTCCATGGGGATCCATGAAGTACCTATTATTATTACACAAGAGTGTAGCTGCAAATTCTGGGCCTCCTGTCAAAATGACACCTTTGCCAAACAGAATTTATAATCCTAAGTACACAAGGGGCCCCTGTATAGTGTTGGCCCCCCCTGAATCTGCCAGGGTGTCCATACCGTTCATGTACGGCACATGTAACAAAATGTCCTCTTTGTCTCTCCAAACTCTTTAATTCACCCACTCTCATTAGCGATAACTAAACTAGCGGCCCAGAAGGTGGCATTTTCCCCTGCATTTCAGCTGCCGGCTCTCTGATGGACAGGACGGTGCGGACAGACCCGGCCATCGAGCACCTTGTTTCTCCCCTCAGAGCAAACAGAGACCGATCTGTTCCCGCAGGCCGTCGGTCCAGCTGGCCTAAGCTACTATTACTAAACCAACAGCGACCCGTCTCACCCACCCCCCCCCCCCCCCCCCCCCACCCAAAGGGGGCTTTGCGGCACTGTGGCTACATGAACAAAATCCATATAGACTCATTTATTGCTCTTGGAGTCCCTTCCCACAGGTTTAAAACTTCATTTTCAGTCGTTTATTTGATTAAGAGAATAATTGCCTTAAAACCCCAGGGATGACCTGCAACTCGGCCTGGGTGTTTTGCTTGCGGTGGGGATGGTAGGCAGGTTCCCCCAACCAAACCCAACGACCTTCCTAAAATAATGATTTCTGTGTGTACGTGTGGTAGTAGCCCTGAGCCTGTAAATAGTTTTACTGTAAACTGTGTCTGCCCTGTGTGCATTAACACGTCAGTGCCGCTCTACCCTCAGGACTTTCACGGGAACCTAAATATAGAGGACTATATTGTGTCACTGAACAAACAAATGACCGCGCGGATTTAAGTAACATGCAACAGACCGGTGATGTTGCACATTAACACCATTGTGCAAATGTATATACAATTAATTGCAGTATTAGTTGCCAAGATATTACCCAGGGAAATTAGTCTCCGCCTCATAACTGTGCAGGAATCTCTTTGGTCCTGACAGGGTAATAGTCAAGATTAAGAGGTGTCTGACATTTGCAGGAGAACAGCTTCTGGTTGTTTAACGCATAGCAGACTTTAAATCATATGGGGTTCTTACTGGTTTTATTGGGTCCTGTGTGTGAGTGTGACAGAGAGAGTTGACATTAGTAAAACCAGGAATAAAAATATGACGTTTCATGTTTTCCACACATTTAATTATGAACATCAAAAATTTTAATCATGAATGCTTTTCCTGCTATTAACGATCACTATATATCTATTGAAAATTATACTTGAGGGACTGCAAATGTGCTTATACCTGATTGATTTTACATTTTAAAAGTTACATTTTAATTTGAATTGAAAAGATATTTCTGCTTTCTTTCTGTTACGCATGCTCAATTTAGCTTTTGAATACTCCGTGACTTTCCTGGGGTGTGGAGTACCTGGTTGGACAGTTGCTACATCGGTGTTAGAGGAATTTGATTATATGGGAATGTTGCCAATCCGTCATGAGACTGCGTTATTAGATCGTGGACTTGTAAATAGATTTCAGTTCCAATTATGACAACCAGCATCTCTACAGTTAGATGTTTACAATACAACACAATACAACAGAATACAATGCAATACAATACAAAACAATACAATACATTGTTTCCATGATTTACATCCCGGCATTGACACGGTTGTATCAGCTGCTGGTTCTATAAAAAAAAAAAAAAGTACCCCATTGTAGCAAAAGCAAATGTCTCATCCATTCTTTCTATACTAGTTGTCCGCTTTTACTCTTCCAGTTACTCCGCGATTGCACAGTCCCGATTATCTTCAGCCTTCCTGCGCTGTAATCGCACCATACGCTGTTTGCTATAGCATTGTTTCTAAGTGTGGAACACCCACGGTGAGGAGATGCTATCTGCGATTCCCATCTCAGTGGGTCTTATACAAGAGCAGCAACTCACATCGCAGGAGGGACTAATACACTGAGGTGCTGTTAAATAAACCAGAAAATCACGCATAATTCAAATATATGGGGTGCCCTCATAAACAACCAAGACCAGGCAGCAGTAATAAAAGAACTTTTCATGTCCAAACCGCATAACGCACAAAGTAATACGGGGGAGGTTATAATATACGCCTTTTATTTATTGTGAAAATAAAATATTCAATGACAGAAAACGACTCATATAGCAATTACGTGTTTACTTTCCACAAGATACGTTTGCTAACAATAATCACATAAGCGTTTGTATTATGACTTTATACATTTATAGTTTTTTTTAACAGACAAAATCACACTCAGAACACTGAGGAAATATATAGGCTTATATATTTAAAAATTCCAAGTTTAACTTCTCATTTGTGGGTGACGTCTTATTTACAGGTTCCGCCAAAATAATCACATATACACAGGAAATGCTGGGAGCCCTGAGTTCCTGCGAACGCAGGAAGGTTTATTTATCTCCACGCGCATTCCTGATTCGCAGCATGAGCTTCAGCGGAGTGGAACCTCGGGCTATATTTAGAGAGCCGGAGTTTGGGCAGGCAGAGGAGAGAAGTGCTCTATTCAAGAAATGCAAGTTTTAAGCACAGAAATATTTCTGCAGCATTTGTCTGATGACTATGCAGGTGTCATTCCGTGTTTTGTGCGTGTATGCATGATTTAACAGCTATCCAAGCCTGGAGTCCCGTCATTACTCCCGTTTCTACTCATTTATATTATTTTAATAAGGGATCGGTTATGAAATAAAATGGCATAGTAATCGGAATGCATGGACCAGTGACTTACTGACCAAACATGACGTTCTTATTTGTAAAAAAATATATATAAGACCGTTGTCTATGGAGTCAGTTTCACAAAGGAGAAACTAATTTTGTTTTAAAATGCCAGTCGGCTAAGCGTTCGTTCTATTGGCGTCGGATAACACACTTGTGGAAACATCACGCACTATATTTAAAACAGTGTACGTACTATAGGTGTCCATGTGCTGGTTCTAAGTGTGTATGTTTCTGCACGTGCATCTGCATGCGCCTCACTTCGGCAGCCAATGGGCTACTTCGACAAGCCCAGTGAAGATTTGTCTTTTTTAGAGTAGGGCTATTAAATAAATTGGGTTTTAAAAAAGAACTAATACATAAAGCAACACATTGTAGCAAATGTTTTAAGTGAAAGTAATAATGAAAAAAAAAAACTGTTTGCTTATATTCTTCATGTTTCAATCACGTGATTTTTTTGTACCTACATCGTTTTGTGTATAAGTAATAGTTCTAATAGGAAATATTAGAATTGAAATTAAAATAAATACACATTTCAAATTATTGTAATCAAATATTTATTTTAGAACTGTAAAAATACACAGTTGACTCACAATTTGAGTTTACATAACTATCTAATATGATTAAATCAAGCGACAAATGTGCATATAAAAATAGACATTTTATTAATTTTTACGAAACGTTAACATCGATGCACAGTACCAGCCCATCAAAAGGTAAATCTAGATTTTCCACGGCGATGCCCTCAGTCATAGCAAGAGCGGTGGGCTGCAGTCCGCATCCGCTTTGCGAGCATAAAGGTGAAACAGACATCACAATTACAAAGGGAGCTGCACGCTGCAAGGATTAAAGATAATGTAATGTAAAATTATTTACTATCACGGCGAGGTGCTGCTCGCGGTTACAGTGATCACACAGAGTGCAGGACATGCACTGGCCTCGGATAGTCATCATTCATTTTAAGATTTACATGGGTATGAATTTCGCTGTCCCCAATTGCATACTTCACGAAATACATCGGCCTCACGCTTTTGCAACGCAAAGCGTTTCATTATATATTTTTTTTTACTGCTGTAAATGTTAAGCAGAACATAAGAATTCAGTGTCAGAGTTTTTAAAAACAGTTGGTACATTTCTCAGGTACACCTCAACAAAGACAAACATCCAGAAAGCGATAAAAATCGGGTCAGCCGAACTAGCTGCCTTGGCGTCCTTAGGACTGGAAAAAGGTTTGACTTAATTCATTTCGTCTCCAAGTTCCTTACTTGAAAGACGCAATAACTGGCCTCTAGTGAATTAAACAGCATATATGCAGAAACGCTCATTGTCACAATCTGAAACAACAATTAGTACAACACGAAAAAAAACACGTATTCACTCCTACCAAAAGTGTGTATATTTGCATATTTTGGACCAGTAAGACAGGACCTTTGAGGGTATATTAAAGGAGTCTCTAGTATTATTCTAAATCTCTTCATTAGAAATGGAATATTTTATCTGGGTATGTGAGCGACAGATAGGGGCAAATGGGGAATCCGATCTGATACAACTGTGGGGCGCGGGTTCCAATCATCACCGAGGCGTTGAGCGCATAGCTCTCCTCCGGGAAGCTTTGGTTTTGATTCCCCTTTTTTGCCAGAATGCTGTCTATGCTGAAACCTTTGGACTTTGGCGCAGTTCGGGTGCCGCTAACTTGATCCACTCCTTTCGGTCTGGACGCACGGGTGGACAAATGACCTACTTGGAGGGGAGATCTCGCCCGTGGCGCCTCTTCGGGCGCCGACCTGTTTTCCGACTCATTGCTTTGGATAGGGGTGGCTCCTCTATGATGCTGCATATCTACCCATGAAACGCTGCCACCATTCTCTGCTGAGTCAAAGCTTAATCCACTGTCCCCCTCCGACGCCTTATACCAGTCCTGAGTGGAAATTGGGGTTGAGGGATTCGTGGGCATTGCATGCTTTCCATCCGAATCATCCTGTTCATTCTCCAGCTTCAGCTGTAGATGCTTCCCAGCGCCTTCTCCCCCCGTTTCGATGGTTTCCTTCTCTACCATTTCTACCTGAACGCTTGCGGGGGGTCTGGAACAAGGAGGAGGGACAAGCGATCCGTTCCTTTTGTGGAACGATTTATTTTCGGGGGACTCCTGGTTCTTGGTCTTTCTCTTCCTGCGCCTGTAGTTCCCGTTTTCGAACATGTCCAGACACTTGGCATCAAGTGTCCAGTAACTACCTTTACCGGGTCTGCCCTTTTCCCGCGGTACTTTTATAAAGCAGTCGTTTAGCGACAGATTGTGCCGAATCGAGTTCTGCCAGCCCTGCTTGTTGTCATGGTAGAAAGGGAATCGCTCCATGATGAACTGATAAATCCCGCTCAACGTGGCGCGCTGCTCCGGAGCACTTTTAATGGCCATGGCGATGAGGGCAATGTAGCTGTAGGGCGGCTTCTGCGGGGGCTCCTGCCGAGCCGAAGCGAACCCCAAGGCCGGCACAATGCCGCTACTGTCACCGCTGTAGACGTATATAAGAGAAGAGCTGGAAAGATTCAAAGCCGAGGGCGGCATCCCGAGCGATTGGAGTCGACTGCCGTAAAGGCTCATACTTGCAAAATCCTCTTTCGCTTCAGATCTAACTACCAAAGTTGCGTTGAATCCGCAGCAAAGCGGGACCCGACCGGACTCCCCGTCTGCTCTCTGCGGCGTCTCACGGGCTCTCGCTGCCTATCTGCCTCATCAGCCTAAAAATGTTAAATAATTGTTGTAAGTTTGCTATTTTATGTTGACTTTGCGCTGGAAAATAAATTGTCTATGATAAACACTCGTTGTGTTCTCAGCCCACCCACATTAATTAAATTTTCATTGCAGAAACCCACTGCTCTCTCTCCGCGTGTCCCTTTCCTACCAGCCAATGGAGTGCTTGGTTATTCCTTCATTTGTTTATAGAATTAGTCTGTTGATAAGTCTGCCCACCCAAGTTGAATCAAGCTGTGTTTATTTGGAAAAATTTCCGGGCACCCAATACATAAACGCACTGATCTGATGTTTGAAATATCACGTCCACCCTCGACGATGAAAGTTGCTCACACAGAGAGAACAAGCAAACGCGACAAAGCGTCTTCTGGGACTGCCTGTAACTTTCTCTAAGACAGAGATGTACTAATGTGATTCAACATCTCTGCCTACATTCGGATTGTGATCATTTGTCATAAAAATATATGAGAAATTGTTTAACCGTTATATTTCGGCATTGTATTTGCCCGTAAGCATATTTCTTACAGGGGGTAGAAAACAGAAACGTAAAGATTTCTGAACTGTGTAATTTTATTTCCGTGTAGTTTAATGATTCCTTATCAACGCGTTAAAGAGGAACGTTAGCGCACGCGGCGTTTTACGCTTTTACCGTGTTTACCATACGGAGCACAGACAGTTACTACCATAAAAGGGAAATCTGGCAGGACGTGGAGGTAAATTGTATTATTTGCGAATGCGTTCCTGTTGCTTTATATTATGTATTTTCCTGTTTATAAAACGTAGAGGGATTATAACAACTTTACAAGTGCAGACAGATGGTTCGTGCTTACATTACGAGTTTGGATGTTTCCGCGGATAAACTCGGGACCTTCCTTCATTTGTCTTTTTTTCCTTTTACAGGCGGTGATTCATTGAGAAACAAGACTAAGAATCAACAGTCTCCCTCGATCTGTAGTCGTTATTCAGCTCGCCCTATTTCACGAGCCCGTTGGTTTTCTGCGTTTTAGCATCATTTATTGAACCAGCAAACATCTGCAGGGATTTGTATACTAACTAGTCAGCAACCCAATCAACTGCGTTCGGGCTAAATGAAAGCCTTTTAGCTAACTATCACATCTGGGTCGTTGAAATCTTGAACTACAAAATAATCAAACAAAATATTTTTCGTTCTGATAACGTTGCAGGCTGTGTTGCATTTATCGTGTGGTCATGCACACGTTTTTGTTCGTTTTGCCCTGGCCATTTAAAAAGGACTGTAGGGCCTATAATATTCAGAATATATAGGCCTATTCAGTCATTTATTAATCATTCCTTTGCCCGAATATAACTTTGGTGAAATTTAGCCCTAATTTGTACCTAACATTTAGAAGGTTACACAGAATATGGCATACAAGACTTGACAACAGCTAAAGATTACAAAGATTTTTCAAATCTCATTGGCATTTCAATCAGCAGCATAAATTAATAACGCGCTGGCGCGTGATGGTAACAAACATTGGCATTAAAATACAGAGATTTAGTAATATCAGTAAATTGCTGTTGTGCACCTCAGTTCATGCATGATTACCTCGCGTCGCACATTTGGTGAGTGTTTGCCCGAAACCACAGAATGTGTAGAGTGACATAAAACCATACCTATTAAGAGTAACCATTCACAGAACTTATTCTATGGAAAAAGCGCAGTGCTATAGCATCCATAACGAACTTGATAACATTCATAGTTGATATCGGTCACTATAGCCGTATATAGCGCGCGGCAGGCTACTAATCAGCTGCACAACGAAAGCCTTATTTGCGTAATTGGATGCTAAAAGGTAACTGTGGCACGAATATTTGTTTTCAGATCCCAAATAAACAGTTTGAAGTTTATTAATTGAAACATATAAGCTCAGCTTTTAAAACGAACAACTCCATATTCAAATATTCCGTCATACTCAAGCCTCCAGGAATTTCCTTTTCCGCCGGCAAAAGTGACTCGATCAATACAAATATTAAATAATCAAGACTCGTTATAGAAATTAAACGGTATATAAGCTTCGAACTGGAGTTGTCCTCGGAAATTGAGCCTGTTGCACATGATTTACGACTTGAGTTTATAAAAGTAGCCTACACTGAAAGATCTATTTATGCCTAGGACACAATAGCCTTCATCACACAATAACGATTTCTTTTATATTTTAAAGTTTGTAAATGATGTAAACAATGGTCATGCGACAAATCTGATTTGGTATCCTGTAGCATTACGTGTTTATAATACAATACCGCCCTGACACTTCTGTAGGAATCAATAGAATACCTAAACCGCGGCTTTTGTTCAAACATTCTTGCAACAGAAAATTATGCAATATACAATTTAAATAAATGATCTTTTAAGCTTTTTAAATTATAGAGGATGCTTTGTAACAATATTCAGTAAACGTGTAATTTAAATGATTATTTAAATGAAAATTCAAATAGTTATTTTAAAGATAATTTATAAATATGTTATTTAAATGATTATGATCTAAATTACAGTTTGAATTATACCAGCAACAATAAAACTTTCTGTCAAAGTCACCTATCACACTTAGTGGGCGGACTCTAGACATTGCACGTCACCACAGATCGATCTTATGTAGTCTATTGAATTCTCATTTGTAAACTAATTTTGTCTGTGCCGTCCTGGGGCCGTATTACATCCTAACTTTCCAAATTCTTATGTATAAACTCTCCTAACTTTAGGATAACAGTTAAGCTGTCATAACTTTCACTGGCCACGAAATAATGTTAGCTATAGCTATAAACAGAGGCCTATTTAATCTGCATGGCTCTTCTTTTATTGCTTTTAGAGAACCAACGAAAGGTACGAACCCCCGCTCGTGACATTACATAAAGAGTATATTTATCGTGGCCACGTTTCAATATATCGTGGGAGTGAATTATAGTAGCCCCCCCCCCCGTATCCGCGGTTTCAACTAGCCGCGGTTAACCTTGGTGAAAAGATAATGTTAAATGTATATATTGTTGTTTAGTTGGTCCTTTAGTAGATTTTTCCGCTATCCCTTGATACATGATGTTTTTTCATTGCTTTATTATCTCTTGAGAATTAGGCTAAAACGTCCGAATCCATTTCATTCGAAAGAGATTAGCATGTTTTTAATGATGGCTATGTCTTACTGTGCATAATTTATCAATTAAACTTTACCATACTTACGCACACAAAAATCACACTATACATGGGCTCCACCGTTTGTTCGGCCATCCGCTATAGGTCTTGGAATGTTTCACTCAGATACGGGGACTACTCCAGTAAACAGTGCGTGTGTGTGTGTGTGAGTAACACGGCATTAGGATGGAACAGACAAAACGCGGCTATAAATGATAATTCAATGGACAAGGCTAGATCGATATGTTGTGGCTTTGCAATGTAACCAATTAGATGTTAGGTTTTGTTTAGAGCCCGCCCACTACGTTTGATGGGTGACCTTGACAGGTAATTGTAATGGTTGCTGATATAATTATGGATCCAAGCACGTAGTGTTGAATGAAAAATGATTTAAACAAAAACAATTTAAATAATAATTGAAACATTCATTTAGATAACATGTTTATTTATTTATTGCATATCGTTACAAAACACGCCCTCATTAAATGCAATTTAAGCCTTTAAATGCAATTTATTTTTTAATGTACTAATGCTAATATAGTAGAAAACGCGAAAATGACGGCAGTTTTTTCTTTTTATAAGACTGCTTAGTAATTTATATTTTAAGTCCATTTTAGAATGGCAGGTTTTTAAAAAATCTGATATTTGATGCATATTTTCCATTCCGGTAAATACATTTAAATTAGTTATGACCCACAGAAAAACCTCTTTGCAATATATATAAACAAATATGACGCGTGTGTGTGTGTGGTTTTGGCACCATTTCATTGTTTTAAACTACATTTTTAAAATAAATTTCAAGAGTAAACAATGATGATTTACATTTAATGCAATACATTTTTCGTTTGTAATCTCACTGCCCTTAAAATACATTACTCCCGGATTGAAGCACTTAATTCGTAAAATCTGAATAGGCACTTGAGCTTTTAAAAATCCTTAAAAGAAAGAAAATAGAGAATATGTCTGAACGCCTTATACATCGAGTTATAAATATTCTATAAATGTACACAATTCCCTGTTAGTTAAAAAAAATATGACGTTGGGAACCTGTTTGGAGAAAAATGCACACGTAACTTGAGGGGGTATCAACACAGTTATACTACTAATGTACAAATTATGAACAAATGTAGTTGCTACTTAAGATGAAAGATGGATCATGAGATCGGTATTTTACATGTGTTATTCCTTATTTGTTCCTACAGTACTTCCTTCAGTGGCTCCTTCAGCAGTTCGCAACGGTTTATAGAATTAACAGATATAGTATCAAATATCATACTTGCTTGCGATAAAAGATGCGTGACAATGCATTAATGATGAACAAACATGAGATCAGTATGTAATTAAAACGTAGTTTGTGGTTAATTAATGCATAAGTTATAGCAAGCAAGTAAAGTGTTACCAAAAATGGACTGGAATAATAGGTTAAGTTGTGAGGATGTATCCTGACGCAGTACGGCGCACTAATAACTTGTCGCATAAGATGTCCGAGGAGGGTGTAACTTACAACGAGGGCATTTATGCAGGTGTTCAGCAGGAACCTGACTGCTGTCCTGCCGTGATCAGATTCCTGTGGAGTTAAGGATCAAATGTCTATATGTTTTAATCCGGGTATGTTGCCTTTGGGACAGCTAGTTAACCGCAATTGTTCGGACTTTTTAAAAAAGTGTATATTAAACTCTTAGTGTGGCATATATGCATCCATTCAGGAGGAATTCGTTTAGTATTTAACCAACCACTGGCGAACTCTTGATAAAGAACAGGCGACTTTGGGCTGTTCTGTATTATTCCTGCGTTTATCGCCATCTAAGTGTAGCATGAGTGCTTAAGTGTTTAAGACACTTGCTTCTAGAAACACTGTACAATACCACGAGAATCCAACTACTACATTCTTTATGCTGCGATTTTCAATTTATTTATTTTAGTTTCCCCACTGAAAGAGAAGATGAATTAATTCCCAGATTTTATTTTGGCGATTTTCTGTTCTCGTGCACTGTGTGTGACTTACTGTAAGGCAATTGAATGGGCAGGTGTGAACCGGCCATCTGGCATTGCGGGCATCTTATGTTGGCCTGCCAAACC